TACACTTGTTTATTTTCACAAATATTTTTCACTCGACCCTGCATCACATCAACATGTTTATTGTTCTGAATACAATAGAACATATTTTCCCATCAACTCATTCTATTCAGTGTTTGTTGATCAGTTACACTTCCATTGTTTATTTACAAACATCCTGTGAAGTTGAGAGAACATTGTTTCATTATCACTGATACAATGTGACTAAGTTGCATAAACACTCTTGCTAATATCCCATGTCTATTTACTGCGAATATTTTATTCACTGAATGAAACTCGAAATGATTTACACGTATTTATTAGGCTCAGTATGATAACAAGTTGAGAGACAGAAGAGATCTGTTTGCTGAACTTCATTTTTCCATCTGCTTTCCAATGAGAACTATTAGATTGTGGAAACAATACTTCCAAGGTGACCATGAGAATTGATGAAGAAAATGAATTCTGGAGAAAACAACTAATCTAAACTGTAAGTACATGCACACAGTTTGGATAAGAAAGTTTGTTTTCTCCACTTTGAGATATGATATATTTGAACGTTAGGCATAACCTGAAGGAAACCCTAAATAACATTAGTTTTTTGCTGTTTGACAAGTGTAGAACGTAAATATTCCTCATAGAATTCTGACCTCATATTGGGAACTATTATGATCGAATCGGCTAAGCAGTGGCTAATCTAATACAGGACTGAGATATTCACATAACTATTTCATTTGATCGTAATTCTTACGACGTTGGTACATTTATTCTCAAAGTAGTTTCATCCTCTCCTGTTTGAGGAAGGTAATTTTGATTCCGTTTAAATGTAATTCACTTAGCATTCTTTATCAGATTCTTCCTGTATCATATTCAACATGGTTTCTCTTTCCAAATTCACTGTTACTTCATCACTCTGGTTCACATGATACAATGGAAATAATACGGCGACCTAAAATGGAAACACAACAACATGAACACCTACACCGGATAATTACGTAATATGATGGAGCAAATATTTTCATCAATTCATTTCTAATTCTATTGACATTTTCAGCTGGTTTTGTTAGTAAATTTCATAATTCACGAAAATATTTGATCATAAATATATGGAAAGTGTGACATATCTAAAATTCTACGGGTAAAACTTCGTGACTTGACGTTTTCCGTTTACTTAGATCAGAGAGATTCAATTCAATCTCTTAGCGTTCATATGATTTCAGTCATTTAGTGACGTTAGTTGAAGGTTGAAATTAGTACTGTATAAAGAATTAGATTAGGAACTCGAGTATTTCAGGAATAAGTCAATGACGTGATTGTTAACAAAATTAACAGGTGTCCGCCTCTATTGTAGAAAGACAACATGCTTGAAGTCTTCAGTCACCGTTGACGACATTAATGGTCACTTAAACTTAAAAAGTTAATCCGATGGTGACTCAACCAGCATTCTCACATCAAATTGTCTAGTTACGTGCATTGAGAACATTCTCATTCATCACTAGTGGTGTGTTATTACATCAATAAGTTAATCCATCTCAGTTACAAATTTGACACTGCGTCCCTAAGAAGCATTATGGTCATATATCGCTGACTGTATACTCCATAACAGACTAAACTAAATACAACTGAATACAGCAGCAAACACGAAATTTCGTTATCAATCCTTGAACAAAACATGTTTTCTGACACCACATGGTTTACAAGTAAATAAAGGTTATTCCCATGCTGTAATCTCATAGGAGACATGTGTTTGCTCAGAAACCTGAATGCATGGAGGCTTTTAGGGAATATCTGATGGAGATTCCATAGTCCATCGTATATCATATCTTCGAAATACATTCATCTATCATTTGTTTATTAAGATTGAATTTAGTTTTATTTTCTGTCTAGTGAGACCCTATACGGAAAATCGTACATTTTTCATTTCAAGTTGCTTCTCGCTATGAAGACCTTCACAACGTAGCATCCTGTTTATTACATCAAGGAAATTAAATTCCTAACTCCATCCCCATCACAATGTAAATCTAATGGATAGATGGCAGCTTTTACACTTTCTCTGAGATGACGTTGCGGTAACAATAACAGTCTGAATAGTGTATCTTACACACACCTCTTACATCAGTTAAAGCCATCAATCGTCGGTGGAAATACCGTGTTCTCGATACTGACTATGAAACATTATGCTAGAAAACAGCTGAGCGATGAGCCAATGGTGACGCGCCCAGTCAGTCTTTAGGACTTGTTAATAAATGCTGACTCAATATTGAAGCTACATCGTAGATGTGATTTCTTCAGATAACATTTGCGAACACCAATAACATCAATTAAAAGAAGGTATTTAGTATAAGAGCCCACTCCGGTAACTGCAGTTAGGGAACATTTCAGTCAGTCACAGGGATTCATCCGAATTTCGGGAAAATATCTAAACAAACTACAAGACAACAGCGCGCCTCTATTCTAAAACGCCTTCGATGTTATCGCTAGGAGAAAAACAAGAAAATCATGAAAGACCGAAAAATATCGGTTATACACAGCCTTATTTCGCACTACAACGAGAAGTCGAGGAGTTACCATCTCATCGCTGTTTGACTCAGTTCTAGCAAATCATACACCATATCAAAGTCGCCCACAAATCCATGCAACATGACCAAGACATCGAAACCATGTTTCTAGCTACTAGCACCAGTTGAATTGTTGTCACCGTACACAAAGTTCTCCGATCCCACCGCCTTCAAATCAAGCACTTTCAAATTCCTTTCTTGTACCTACATCGCATATGTTAACCAAGTTAGGGAGATGTAGGAAATCAGTGACTAGAACCTCCCTACTAGTGGCTAGAAGCGAATCACTGAGTGAGCATACCTGCATAAAAGCAAACTGTTCTCAACTTCAACTGTATCAGCGCGTTTCGAAGTGATTCATTAAGGGCTATTTGAATACTCCCTAGAAATAATATTCCCAACAATTTGGCCATTCGTACAACTCATGTTGTTGCAATAACGAGCATTACTACAGTTATAATGCCGTTCAAAATGTCTCTTCCTGTATACCTATGAGGATTCAAACTTAATTTAAATAAAAAACAAATATTGACAATAGAACAAACTTCCATGAATTATTCATCAGTGGTCATGTGAACATAAAGTTAACAAAATCATTACGTGATCACAGAAGTAAAAATGGTTTAACAACATATCAAAACAAATTCTTCTATTAAAAATTCGATTAGTTAGGTACATTTCAATAATTCAATAATAACACATGCAATTCGCTGAATCTTGAAAAATTGTAAGATACTTCCTTTCTGGAGAAAAAACACTTTTCTGTAGGCTCTAGTCACAGCCTCACTTATCACGAACTCAATGTTAATATCCCATGTCTAAGAAATATTGGTAGAGTATCATTGCAAACAAAGGATGTGAAGAATCAATGAACAATAAGAAATTCTGTTACAGGTTTGCACGATCATACAGCTATGCATTAGACGATCGAAGTTGCTGTTGATGCAGCTGCCACTGCACAATTCTCATCCACCTATAACAAGTGTGAACAGAGGAATAAACAAACATTGACAAACAATCAAAGCTACTTTTCAAGCATTTATTGTATAACTTGATTCGAAATTGGCAAAAGTCTAAAATATTTAGTTTTGTACTTTCTGTGTTCGTTCAATTATAAGCTGTCTTTCATCGTCCGATTCCGTTTAAGCACTCGGATCCGAGACACGCAGTCTACAGCTATTAACACCACTTGATCCAGTTGTCAGTGACTTTATGTATTTATGCCCTGTCTTCCTTCGAGCACCCATAACCTTTCCTCAGTCTACACATACATTACAAAACATCGTTCGTCCATCAATGCCTTATTTTTAAAAGCATTTCCATTGCAAAGCTAAATACGAATGGAGAAAACGGACAATTGCGGTAAACATAATCTGAAGTAAGCAATTCCAAAGACAGTTCGTCTCACGTTCTGACTCGACCAAATGTGTTCTATCTAAGAGCCTGTAGAAAATTAATATGCTTCTGTAGTACACCTCTCAATGATAGACACTGCCACTGAACGACAACTATAACCATTCTCAAAACATCATATGTAAGGTGGCTGTTGGAAGTAGCCGACAAGGAACCCCTGAACCTAGGTTTCATCAGTTTTCGCACTCGTCAGTAAGCTTCGCCTATGGTCATGACGGAACTAGTCACTACTCAGTGATCAATCCACCGTATATGCAATAAAATACACTTGACGCTCATTATTTTGACCTGTTAGTAGGATGAAGAGGGACAGTATATATAACTTTTCCACATCCACCATCTAGTAGGTTACACGTTCGAAACCGCTCGGCTTGTCAAAGTTAAGGCATCTAAGCAAGCCAGACTTCACATACCTAAATAACAACGCTCGTTAGGATTTGTCAACTGATACAGCAGAGACACAAATATAAGGTGCATCGAATTTTGAAGTACTTTAGTCAGTGAGTTAGTTGCATGCATTCTTTTACCTTAAAATATGTAATAGCTGTCATTACACTAAACGTGTCACTTGTTAAAGATCCAGCTAAAAAGGAGTCTTTGAATTTATCCTCTAGTCTGCGCACTAACCCACTGATTCATTTACTTTCCAGAATCATAAGTGTCGGTCTCAAATACCACCTACACATGCAAAACTGGTAACACAAAACATGAACTCACATGTTCTCATTCGGTATCGTAGTATGTCTTCAAATTAATCCAGAACTGCTCCTTGATTCTCAAATTCTCTGCAGCGGAAACTTTATTACCGAGCACTATCTCAACACCATCATTGCGTCTCGAACATTTATTTAGAAGTTGACCGATCCTACAATCAACATCATGGCATTCCAAAGGTCAGATAACTGCATCGCCTTTATCATTTCAGATTTTGTATTGTTTTCGCTGACACAAAGAAAGATTCCAAGGGCATTGTAGATATTCGACGGGCAGATTAAAGTATTTCCCCACTGACCTAAACACACTAATCAGAATACTGTAACATAAAGCACTCACCATGGAATTATTCCAAGATAAAATTAATCTGTAAATTTCGCGAGAGATGTCAATCCATCCATCTTGTATGAAATCGAAATATGTTAAAATAGTTGGGAGAATGAAGTGTAGATAATGCAAAGCGATCAAATTATCTACGCAGCAGTTGCATATTAGGAACTTCAACCTGAGAAAGTTGTAAAATGTGGTACAGATAAGTTAGAATGAATTCATAAGAAAGGTAATAATAAGGTTAAATAACTTCGTGCACTTGACAACAGGAAGATCAAATATCCTAATCTTTACTAGTTGATCGCAGTTTTGGCAGTAACGTCATATCCGTTCACCGTTAAATGAGAGCTGTTTATATCACTCCTAAATTCGTCCTAATATCATCCACGCATTAACGGTGATATCCGAATAGTCAGTGTAAGGTCCTTTGAATTTATGAGAGAAAAGCAGGAACGAAAAGCAACACGCAAGATACTCAACAATCACTTTATTCGAAACACATATTGCAAATCAATTAGACATAATAAACAATGACGCGCTGTGAGCATTCTCGCTTATTCTGTCAAGAAGCCATATGCATTTTTCGAGAGGAAAACAAGTTACAGGACCATTACGTCCAATTTCCAGTGTGCTTGAGTCTAGCTTCAAAATACCTCATGTTGACGGATGGTGACTGGTAACGAATAAGAACATTTAAAAGCGACGAGTAAGACGACCCAAAGAACTATGAACATAAGGAGAGGCGAGCAGACAACTTGATACGCTGCAGAAAGTGAAGCTACAGTCCTGCATTCCAAACTTACGACCCTCAGTTCCAACTACCAGTCTTCATATTATGCTTGTGTTGTTTCTGATTGATATCGACTAATTTCTCAATCTAATGTATGTGCACCCTTTCGGCTTACAGTCGTCCACATGCTTTTTTTTATTGATCTTTCCTTTTTCAGATGATTCTATATACTCTTCCTCACACACCCCCATCACACTAGGTACTTTGTCGAGAAGCGCAAACAAACAAACGAACGCAAACTGAGACCATAGCACTCTGTGTAACTCAGTACATTGAAGTCACTCCACTACATGTAATTTATAGGCAAGCTTACCAAATGCTGAATTCACACCACACGAAAACCAACAACGCACATTGCCAATAGAGCGGCGATTTTCAGCATCCAATGTCTAATATACAATATTGAAGCTGATGGAGAAAATTTGTAGCTCAAGCAGCGATCTTAATGCTAAGGAGGAAATCAATTTGAAGAAGATGGGTACAACAAAGACTATTCGCTGAAGGGACTGTGGTCATCTGGGCTGAGAAATCGTTCCAAGTTGCAACGACTCATGATGAAATGTGTGCGTGAACAAGGGTGTACATTATTAGACACTCGATGTCCGCAGTATGATCTCGAAGACCAAGGTTGTCATACTTCTGTAAGATGCTGATGGTCGAATGATTCGGCGTGCTGAATATGTTCTATGCCGTTATCAGTTCTTTTCTGACTCTCAAGTAATAATAATAACGGACGGCTTCTTTATACTACTTCAAGACTATGTGGTCGATATTGTCACATACTGCTCACTTTCTCGAAAGCACGGATTCTAGGTTTCCAAGTACTAGGTTTGGAGTACGTTGAGTATTCCCTTGACCACCAGCTTGTATTTTGACCTTCGGCAGTTGGTCTAACTGATCAGTGAATTTGATGTTGGAGATCTCAGTAACCTATATGTCGGTGAGGTTTCTTCAATTTTTAACTTTTGGTGTGCAAACACCCTGTTTCAAAGGTTTTATATTTTTCCTTACGCTGAAAATAGACTGAGAGTTTGCCCTTATTTTTGGCTGCTAGCTCGATCCGGAAGCGTCCTCAATTGGTGTGAACACTGGCATCACAAAAGCTGCTCAATAACAAGTGGAAAATACGTTTCCAGTCCCTCAGCGAGACCATCGACTTTCATCATGCTCTAATTTTCGCCTGTAGCCAGCGTTCAGTGTCTCGAAGAACCTAAGTATATTTTGTCTCCCGTTGTGTGCTGTGCCTGAGGTACATTGTCTCGGACAGCGTTCTGCACGATATCGAGTGATAATATTTTGTTCGCCTTGACCAATCCCGTGGCCATGATGAGCGAAGAAGACACTCTTCCATGCACGCGTAATTCGCTCCAGCGTAGCAGAGGCCGCGCTCGTTGTCGTCTTGCTTGAGTGTCTCATTCATTAACACGTTAGTCATGACTTCACTGCCCTCGGTGTTTGGTGTACACAATCGTATCCATTGTGTCATGCTTCGCAACCATTATCAACTGAAATGTCTGCGGGTAGCCGTGTTTCAATTTCGATTACTATCTTTTGATCGATCTAAGAGCATATATTCGTTGTTTTTAACAGCATTGCACATGAAATTTGTTCTTGTGTAATTCTGATGTCGGCAGATATCCGAGGTTGAGACTAAAAATTGTTGTTGCGACGGATGAGGCACTTCAGAGATACTAGTTATCATGGTGGTTTGAGAAGTAATTCCAACCATCTTAATTCTGCCCTGGGAGTTCGAGGAAGAATTATGACATCGCGTGATAAAGGCCGAGTTCCTTCGGAAGTCACGGGGCCGATGTTTCTTCTGTTAACCAGAGCAACCATTCTTTTAGGTACATGGAACGTTCGTACATTGTGGTAGACTGGAAGACTAATTCAAGTTACTGCACACATGAAAAGATACACCTTCGAGGTGCTCGGCATCAGTGAAATGCGTTACAAGACAAGCCTTCACATGGAAGCCTCAAGGTGAAAGGAAAAGTGTAGGGCCAACGAACATAATAACATTAATAATAATAATAATAATAATAATAATAATAATAATAATAATATATTTATTCTCAAATAACTACGTTACAAGAGTCACGCCAGTTTACAGGCTAGATCAAATTGTCACAAATGCTTTTACAATTACTGTAAAAGTTATAGCAGTTAAATTGAGTATAAGAGACAGTTTCTGATTGCATATTTACACCATATCACTGACAGAAACAGTATTATACAGCCACATTTTCAATATTAGAGTACAAATGAGGAAGGTGTGTTACGGGAGAAACGAAGACATTTTGCTGATTAAAACCTTCATGTATAAATATAATTAATTTCACTGTTTTTTGGGTATATTTGTTTTACTTAACTTATGAACTTGTTTGAATTATTATTTGCGGACATATTGGACTCCCGTTTCTCTTTGTTGTTCGTTGCAGTTTTTTGCTCCAAGAGATAATAAATTAGAAGGTAATTGTAATTATTGTAGAATTTATTTCGCCGGCGGCTGTCCTAATCGCGTCCAATAGAAACACACCGGTACGATACTCCTAGATCCAGGTCCCAGCCAAATCAGAAGGCCAAAAATTCTAGGAGAAAACCGTCTGATGTTTTTGTTTCTTCCAGGACTAAATTACTCCGTAGAGCATCTATTACAATAGCTAGTAAGTGACACTAAGTCCAGCAGCCACCGCGTCTATACGAAAATG